ATTTTTAATAAAATGAGTGCCGACAGCGAGCCTGACTTGATTTGAACCACTTGTTTTGATAGAATTGCTTGGCTTGCCCTGAAGGTAACTATAATATACACCACAAATGATCCAAAATAGGGAAATTATGCACAATTTGCACATAGTATGCATTCAGATGGCAAAAGAGCAGTGAAAGTTAAGTTGTTCCTCTTTGAGGAGAAGGAGCAAAGTCTTGGCATAGCCCTGCATGCTTTGGATCAGTGTCTTGAGAGAGAGTTTCCAGACGTTTCCCCCTCCCCCCCTCATATTGCAGTAGTTTGGAAAAGTGAAGCTGTATTGGAGACTCGCATTGGCCTCGGGCAGTATATATATGTGTCTCTATGGAGCAAACCAATCATGCATTACATGGAAACAGCCACAAAAGGCAAAGTCCACATGTGCAAAGAGTCTACTGCATCTACACTGAAGTGGGGAAGAGAACGAATATATACAGCATTTGACATGCTAGATCTCTGAGGCACTTAAATAGGACGTAACCACTCATTTGATGCTATTTTAGAGTGGTATTACTTGCAAACCATTCAAAGTTGTAGCTGACATGCATCTTTAGGGTGCAACATATTCACACGTTATTCATGGGACACTGCAGTGTTTGCATTTCACCACTAGTTGGCGCATGACACTGTAAGATGAACACTGGATAGGGAGAGTAATTGATATCCAGTACTCACTGTACAATCTATGTACTCTATAGACCTCATATTGCGTAAATTACTCTTCCAGCCTTATGTACAGACTGCAAAACATGTGTATTTATAAGTTTATAATTGATTAAGAATTAATCTTAATAATCATATTATGTTACTTTAAAGTTTTGCTAAACATGTGTATGAGCTTTGAACGTTCTCCTCAAAATGATATCACTGCTTTTTCGGTTCTTACCACTTGAGGATGTCCACTTTCATGTGTCAGAACGATTACTTGCCCGCAGGCTGTTTTTTCAGAGCTTATGTTCTTACGTGCTTGGGTGAGTTAAGAGGCTAAAAACAGACCAAACACGTTTCCCATAAACATTTCATAGGAAAGCTTTAGATGACATGTGATCTATCAACTCTCATGTATCAACAAAATAAACCTGTGCAGTTCATTTAGTTCTGTGGAATGTCTGAATGTTTACTTTATGATTTCTCCTGATAGGAACTGAAAAAGAAGAACGAGAAAGGGGGAGTTGAGTCTTTTTAATCATTTTCGGTCCTTCACTCTTTAGAAAAAAACAGCAACCAAAAAGTTTACATTTCATTTTTTTTAGAGTGATTATCATTTGTTTGGTTACTCAAAAACATTTCAGCGTAGTTTTTAAGTTGCTTAAAGGTTCTTCATGGAGCCATCTGTGATAATAAAGAACCTTTATTTTTAAGGATATTTGATGAACTGTTTATATTTGGCTTTATTGTTCTCCTTAGCATTTTACTGAATCCAATTGCCCAATCCTAAGCTATAAATAACAATTGCAGTTAATTTAGTAATGTTTTTGCATCTTAGAATCAAAGTAGAATACAGGTAGCGTGTGAACATCATTTCTCATACATGTTTTTTATGTGTGTTTAAAATAATACCTTATCAATTGTTGCATGCAATTAGAATTTATTTTCACATTTCTGTGTGTGTAAATAAGAACATTGCAGTCACTGATCCAGTTTTTGTTTCCTAAAACATGTTTTTTGTACCTGAGGGCAATTTCAGATGAGCAGGTATTTGCCCTGATCTTATCCTTCACTCTTTTTGGATTAAATGACAGTTCTTTGTATTTCTTTTTAGACAGTTAAAATAGAACACACTTGGTTAGATTTGTGTTGATAAAACATTCATAGACTGAGTATGGGATGAGAAAGTCTTTGCACATGCCTTATGTGTTTTCTCACTAACATATATATATATATATATATATATATATATATATATATATATATATATATATATATATATATATATATATATATATATATATAGAACACACTTGGTTAGATTTGTGTTGATAAAACATTCATAGACTGAGTATGGGATGAGAAAGTCTTTGCACATGCCTTATGTGTTTTCTCACTAACATATATATATATATATATATATATATATATATATATATATATATATATATATATATAATTTTTTTAACTTCCTTTTTATGTTCTTAGTACTAAAAATATATGGCAGATTGCTCATCTGCCATTATTTCAGGTATACAGGTTTTAATTTATGCAGTAATAATGGGAAATTTAGCACTGAAATATTCAAAATAAGTAGGCTAAACATCATGTTAGAATAAAGTGAAAATATTTAGTATAAAATCGGACTCTTTTCAATGAGTGGGTATTTAACTCGGCATTTTGTTGGCAGTAATTTTGTGGGTGAAACAAAAAAAGAGTTTAACTGTATATGCATTTGGAATGGAGTCCGAATTAAGGATCCAAAATACGCGACTGCATTCAAAGTTGCCAACAAACACACGAGGACCTGTGGATTTTGGAAAGGTGATGTTATAAAAGGGTCAAACATATTTTCTGCTTTTATAATAACGTTTAACAAGTTTTGGAAAAAGTAACAGCGTTTACTTGAGCTCGTATAGCATCTAATTAGCCCAGTTCATTTATTTATGAAAGTTCACGCGGAACAAACGTTTTTTAAATAATAAAAAAATAGGTAAAAATAATACTTTGCAAATATTTAAGACAAACATCATGTAAAATTATGGTAACAACATAGCTCATTATACCAGGCTAACGTTGCATTTGGGTTAGTCAAAAGTAAAAAAAAAAAAAAATATATCTTATGCATTTGTACACAGGATTGTTTTTAATTTTATTTGCACTTATGTAGGTTTGTATTTTGGAAAAAAAGGCTGTACAAATGAGTCAACTATTCATTAGAATATTAATATAGGAAAATGATCAACTTAAAAAACAGAGTAAATCGCGCCTTTTTAATATATAATACCAGAACAAAATGGAAGAGTAGCAGATTCCGTGCGCTTCCCATCAGTATTGTCACGTTGATGTTATTTTAATAATTTATTATTTAATTAAAAAATCTCTACAGGTTATTTCTTAAAAAAAAGCCAATTATGTCGGGAAGGACAAACTTATTTAACTTGATTTTTAAATTCGAAAGAGAGTTGGTCCGCAGGCTACTCAGAATATTCTGAGCTCTAATCATTCTTGGCTTTGACCGAACAGTGTCCGATGAGGAACTCGAAAGGTTAAACATTTGGCCTTGGACTTCAGGGAGCTGTTAAAGCTTTTTTGAGCAAGGTAGAAAAGCAAGACTGCAGCTTCGACTACGATATAAACGTTGAATACCTAATTAAATCAAGTTTACTCTTTTGCGCATGTAGGCCGCGCTTTGTGCATTTAACAAAAAAATCCAGCAGGTAAAAAAGTACATTTTTTGTAATTTATTCATTTTAAAACTAGCCTGCATTGTCACAAAATTTCAAGACAATTAGGCTATTTTAATTTCTGCATAAGCATAATCTTAAGTATAATGATATAAGATCACATCACAAGGCCTGCACTTGTACTCGTCTTCCAGTTTATTTATGCTCTTTAATGCTCCAGGCATCTCGTGACCCTTTAAAACGAGAGCAGAAGTCATTTAAGGACACTGTAACAAGCACTAGTGACTTAAAATAGATTAAATGACTTTTCAAGTGACGCTGCTTTTATGACGAAGTTTAATAAACTTAAATCTATTTTTATCTTGTTTAAATCTAATTTATTTGGAAATGACACATATTTAGAGTTCTTGTAAAAGCATTGATGCACCTGCAGGAAACGCACGCACACGCGCGCTTTACACACTCACGCTCCCCTTTTTTATTGATGGTATAGCTTGAAGACAGGATAATTGTCCAGTGAGGTGTTTATTCTACCATTGCCAATTTACCATTCTTAGTCTTGCATTTTATGCATGATAAAAAAAGCTGTCTGAGAAATATTTATAGGCAATTGTAAAACACATACCGGTTTTTGTGCAATCTTGCTAATTGCATTTTGGAAATGTACCATTTAATAGTTTTCATTTCCCTTTAATATCACTATACAGAACTTAAAAGTGTTTAAACTTTTTGTAGATGTTTTGTTTTTCATTTATTTATATGTATTGATTATTTTGGTGCAATATATATTTGTACTTGCTACATTTGACCAGAACAGAAATTCAAGACTTGGTCATTAAATATATGTATTAATAGAAATTTAAGAAATATAGTATTTTTGTATATTTCTGAATTATTTTATTCTGACAAAAACGAGCTTAGAGTCGCTGACCCATATATAAAGTATTATATACAGTACAAACTACGCCATCAAGTGCAGTTCTTCTAAACGAGTGGCTCCACTGCACACACACACGCACATACACACACGCACTGACACACACACTCACGCCACCCCCGTATTTCATCAATTCCTTCTCCGCGAGGACTGAAAGATGTGTGTATGGAGCTCAGAACACCGTCTGTGTTGCCATTCGTGTTGTAAGAAACAAAAGAACAGACGAGGCATTGATTCCTGTCTGTACACAAGGACATCTATGCGCGCTGCATGTGCAATGCTGCAAAAGCTATGAGACCGACGATTCAGCACTGTAAATTAAAGATACACGACCAAAACAACCGCCAGCACCTTCAGCCAGTGCACTCTCTGCAGCAAGCCGTGCATTAGGCTACTGTAAAATCTTTATTTTGCCCTTCTGTACCTTGTAGCGAGGATTTCGGATTGGACGAGCCTCGAAGACTTCGCGTGGGACGTTTTGTGTTTTGGTCAGTGTCCGGGTTTATTCCTCCCATCCGAGGAGCACGGATTACTTCTTTGCGAAGATAAATGGATACGGAGTTATAAAAGCACCCGACGAGATGACCAAGCGCTGAACCGCAGAACTACAAAAGCCTCTAAAGCTGTAACTTTTTTGGGGGGGAGGTTGGCAGTTTCGCTTCGAAATGGTACGTTAACAAATCAGTTTCATCATTATTGTGTCGTTGCTCCAAAAGACAAGGCAGATCACGAGTTGTGCACTCTTAAAGTCAAATGAGATCATCCTCATCATCATCATCAACACACAGGCGCCGTGTTTCGGTTTTCCCCCCTTGCTTTCTCTCTTACCAGCCGGTTACTCCTTTTTCTCGTTGGTTTTCGGCCAAACGTAAGATTTTGTGGGAAAGGCTTACAAATGCTGGCGTGTTATTCTCGCTGTTGAGAGGCGCAATGGATAAGATAGCGACCCCGCGATTTGCTTTTTCTCTCCTAATGAAAGTTATTAGTTCTGTGACAGTCGAAGGGGAAAGGGTGTGTGTCGGTGTGTCTGTGTGCTAACCACGGGACTCCGAAGGCCAAGTTGAAGTTTAAAGCCAGAAGCCCGACAGTAGAGTTTGCTCAGCAGAAAATGGCCGCAGGCTCGCCGGCATGAATTTGACATCTACACCGGCAGAGGCGCTCCCTCCCCGGCAGAACTCTTAGATAGTGCGCGGTAGACACAACCGGGAGTTCGGCAATGTTTCAGAAAGAGCTTTTTAAACTGCAGGGACATGTCATGTTCGAGTAACACTAGCAAACTTGTCTTGTAAATAAAAAAAAGTAGCAGTGTCGGAAATGAGCTGTGCTAGACAGATAAAGCAACCTTTAGCCAAGCATATGTTTGAAACTATGTTGCACTATTATACTAGGTTACTTCCATGTTTTTGGAGCGTTTGCACTGTACCACACGCTTGCAAGTAATCTGAAGTAGGCTAAATACGATGCCGCATGAAAGATATGTCATAAATCTTAGTGTGCATAATAACATAGAGTAATGCTGTCATGGAACTTTTTTGTATGGGTAAGAAATGGCTCGTTTGCCCTTTAAGGGAAGGCATTCAACAAGAGACTTAATAACTATATTACTCACTACTGTTGCATGATAATTTACGCGTGTTAACACAGACTAATTACGATAATCCTAAAATGTATACTCAAATTTGCTCTCTGGAGGGATGTTTTAAGTTTATGTAAACTTTCAGGAAGTATACGTTTTTCTCTCCCTCTTTAGTTTCCAGGTTAATAACAGAGTGTTTAATAATTTCTTTTTTTAGAGTAAAAAAAATTATTGATTTGTTGATTTATTTTAGGCTAATAGTTTTTATGCTCATGTATAGGCTATTGTACTGTTCATATATTAAAAATAATACACGCATGAACCTGACCCCAAAATACGTGACAGTTTCAGAATAAGTTTAGTATAAATTATGATAATTCTGGATATGACAGGATTGGTAATTATTGGCGTAATTCTGTAATTTTGAGACGTCGGGAGTGTGTGATAGACAGCTCTCTCCCTGGTCGTCCACAGTGCGCCCAGTGCATATTCAACAGAAATAACAGGTGGTGTTTACACTTTTCGTTTCAATAGCCTGTCTTGTTTTACACTTTCATGTAAGTCAGTGGACGCTTATTTTAATTTATTTGATCTCCTATCTAATAATTTGTGCAAAAGTTAGATTTATGAAACTTCAAAAGTACACCTTTGAGTTTTTGATTTGGCAAGCTATGCCTTTTCGTTACTAGCTAGGCTAATAGATAACTTTTAAGTGAATATATCTGCAGCGAAGTGCCATGTTAGTCTTGCAGTGACTTATAAAAAGTTTGTGGCTCTCAAACTATAATAAAAAGAAAAAAAGGCTCGTTCAAAGACGCGCGCGCTAAAATGCATTGATTTCATCCTATATATTATAGTCATAATTACAGTTTTATGGATTTATGTGTCATGGTGACATGTAAATCTAGTTTTTGAATTGAAAATGCTCACCCCTGTGTAAAGTAATAAAGGTATTGCCTTATCAGGTATTTTTTATGGAATTTACGCGCGCTGTTTTTTTTATCCACTCACCTCACATGAAGCGATAAGCCTCGAACACTTTGTCATGAATGGATGCATGCATGTGCGTTCTCTGTGACGCAATGTCCGCGCGAGCCTGGCTCTAATCGCCACTTTAGCAGTGCGTGTTGCAGTGAAATAGTTTGGAATACGCGCGCGGGTGAAGCGCGCACAACGTTCCTGCGTCCGAGCTGGATCAGCGCGAGAGGGAAGAGCGGTGCGTGCGCACTGGCGAACAGGGGAGAAAGTCGATTGCCACTTTCTTTCGCACCATATGAGCTCCAGAAACCGTGGCAAATAACTTTTTGGGGTTAATTTCACGGACTTAACGGATACCCCTGGACAGTGGAAACCACAGTTAGCCTCTCTTGCTCCTTCAAGTACTTTCTTTGGGATGGGCTATTTTCATAACGTCATTTCATTCCTCCCTCTTTTTCATTTTCTCTTTCTTTGATTCTTTCTCCCACCATTTCCTAAATGGAACAGATTGCAGCACCCCACGCGTTTTCCTGCATGCAAAGTTTGGTTTCAAGCGTGTACACCGTTTGCGCGTTCGCTTTTGCCGGGCGACCCTTGATTTAACGGAGTCGAAGTGGAAGTCAGAAGTGACGGCGGTGGAAGTGTTAATCATGATGAGGCTTACCATGATTAACTGTGAAAAATGATCCACTAACTTGTCGGTGTTTTGCCACATTTCAAGTCACGCGCTCCCCTTTCAACATGATGTATTCTCCTCTCTGTCTAACTCAGGTAAAGTGCTTATTTGTGTCTTTCTGAACGAATTGCTCCTGATCGCGCGACGAGATTTCAGTTCATAAAGGGCGGGATGTGCTCTGTGCTTCTCTTTGCCTGTTTACCATCCATTCATACAGCACTAAACTGTTTATCCATGTCTATATTGTTATGTTTTCAATTATTGAAGTTGTACAACAGTGGCAAATCAATTTGACGAGGTAACACGAGTCGTTGTTTATCGTTGTGTTTAAGCTGGAGTTTATGTACAGTATAGAGTTGGCATTTCAGTGAATAATCATCAGCTGCTTTAAATCATAAATTAGAGGGGAAAGTTGGTCACAGTTGAGGTAAATGAAACTTGTTAATTTTAAACATTTGGCTTTGTATTATTTATGGTTAAGTTTATTGTTTTATAGTTTCCCTTAACTGGAGAAAATATATAAACACCGAAGCACTGTGCATAAGTTGACTTATGTTTATATTATCTGTAAAACCTGATGATTCTATTTATTATAAAATATATGTTTATGTAACTTTGAAAGATAATTAGGATGATATAAATTCAAACCTGGCTTCATTTCTGTGGTTTCTTGTGTGCTTTTAAAGTTTGAGATTAATATGATAGAGCCAAAAAAGTTGCTTATTAAAGTATTTTTTTAGTCTGCTCAGTTTTATACAGCCAGTCACTTAAAAAGAAATAAAACTAAAGCATTCTAAGCAACAACACTGACACCAGCTTTTTTGCTGCAATTTATATTAATTTGTTTGATTTATTTCCATTTACTTCAGTCAATAAGATCAAATTTTATTGAAATATTTCTATGCAATGCGATAGTGCTCGGGTGTTAAGCAAATGCGATAGTATTTGAAAAGTATTTTGTCAGCAGTCTGAATTGATACAGTCACAGAGGGTTTTTAAGGTCACTTTACTGTCTCAAATTGCCCTACTGTATATATTAACCCGAGTCACTAGGATTTTAGATGGCCGATGATTGCTTTGACCTTGACTTTGGTGAAAAAGTTGCAGCTATAGTGAATATTTTTGCTTTGGTCCATTTTGAATTACACATTGATTTTCTCTTTGAAACTTATTGATAATGATAGAAAATATTAAAGTAAAACAGATTAAATTGTGTAGAGAGTTCGCAGTTGTAACAAAACGAAGATTAATTTTTTTTTTGGATATTTGATTAGAAAGTTGTTCCCTATTTTTGAATTGAAAAACGCCCTCACTTACTGACAGCCGTAATGACAGTCCATTATACCTGTCAATTGGACATTGAAAATATGTAAATTGCAGCCATGTTTATGAAGGTCAAACTTTTGTATATAGTTTATCTTGTGGTATAATTCGACTCATATCTCATACCAAACTTTTATTTAAATAAATGCTAAGGAAGCCTTTAGGATTTGGGCTTTTGAGTCCCACAAATATGTATTGTACTTTTGAGCTCTTATGAATGTGTTTAAACAGGTAACGGCACAAATACACGCCTCACCCTGCAGCGCTTGAATTTATTATTAAACAAAAATTAGATGGGGCTCTGTTTCAGTGCACACAGTGTTTTTTGATTCTGTGTGACAGAAACTTGTATTACAGTTATGCATTCATAAACTCATTAGTAAACCTGAGAGTACAAATGTAATAAGAAAAAGTAAAATCTTAATAGTTAGCATGACTTAAACACTAAACACAGTTGATCGGCAGGTTGCAATAAATATTTAGGAATGGAATAATCTGTTGTGGTTTAGATCACTGCGCCAGCAGTTTGGAGGCCTTTGGGTTTGTTAGTAAGCGCTCGGCATGTCCATTGCCTCTCTCTCAGTGCTGTTGCTGGTAGGATAATGTAATGTAGGAGCCTGCAGCGTTGGAGGGAGACTCACAGCATGCACACAGAGGTTCTGGCCGTGGTCTGAGTGAGTGTGTTGGGCTGAGAGGGAGAGAGTGAGAGGGACAGATGAGGCGTGTGCCAGACTTCACCGCAGTCCCGCTGGCAGCCAGAGGGGCCTTTCACTCGGAGCTTCGCTGTACACACACTGAAGCTCCCAGTCTGTTTCATATGCAGTCATTATCACAATTCTGTTTGCAGTGAGCAGCAACTGCCTAATAGTTTAGAACTGGTGAAGAAATATATATATATATATATATATATATATACATATATATATATATATATATATATATATATATATATGGTATAGTATATTGATGTTTACAGCACTACAGCATTGTGTACGGCACTGCAGAAATTCAGACATTTCTAGATAAATTTTGCGCACAGGAAATATGCATGTTTATATACACTCAAAAAAGACGTTTGCTGTTTTTTTCAAGTAACTTATTTAGATTGAGCTGAAACAACATAATTGTTTAGTTTTTTGGGACAACTTACTTCGTTTATGTTCAATCCACTTATATTTGTGAAAAAACTAATGAGTTAACTTAATTCCTTCATATCCTCACACGAATTGTGTTGAACTCAGGATTTTTTTACAGTGTTTGTATAAGTAGTATTCTTTGCTGTTTTTGTTTTGCATTATTGTTATTTTTATTATATATATAATAATTGTCATATAATAAGACAGTGTTGGTATGATTGTATTCTTTGGTAAAACTAATTTATTAGTTGTAGAATACATAAAATTACAGTACACCAAGATTTAGGCTGATATCGCTTCATATTTGCTTTCATTACTGTGGTTTTAACTGTTTTCTTACTTTTTAAATGTGCAATTAATAGGATGTTGTAAAAAGTTGGTTGCTGCTGTATTTTTAGTCTGCTCAATGGTACACATCAGTCACTTAAAAAGAAATAAAAACTGAAGCATTCTGGAAAGAACAACATGGACTTACCAGACATCAGCCCTTTTCCTGTAATAAATTGTAATTTACTTGAATCCTTTATATATATATATATATATATACAGGTCTAAAACTTTTAGACCTTTTGAAAGATTGATAGTTAAAACTATTTTTTTTTCTTCTGTGACCTACTGATGACATTTTTTGCAAATTATAATAACAATGTTGTTATTTAGAGTATCTTACATAAAATAACAGAAAGGTGCCATGTATTTAGATGTCTTTATAGTATGTTTTAGACAAGACAAAACACAATACCAGTGTTTTAACACTTGTAGAGTTTATAAATCGTTATTTAGTTTGAAAATGCAGATTTTTAGTCCAGCAAATAAAAAAGATTTGTTAATCTGTCCAATTTATAAATGTTAATCTTTTTAAAACCACAACAACAACAACTTTAAAACACTTACCTGTGTGTAATTAATAAAATAAAATAAAAAATCATATTGTAGGTCATTGTGAAACTGAGACAAATTCATGAACCAATCAGTAATTAATTTAGCTGACATGATTTTGTCCAAGCAACGAATAGATTTTTGTGCCTATTTTCTTTTCCTTCATATTTGCGTTAATCCAGATACTCGCTGATCAAATGTGTTTGGTTTGGACAGACCCAGTTTGGAGCATATTTGCCAACAGCGTAGAGTAGTTTCAGTGGGAGATCTGAGAGGCTCTATTCCCTCCGAGCTGGCAACATGCTGTCCTGCCCCCATTCCTCATCGATTCATTCCGTTAGAGCCGCAATTAGTCCCCCCCGGGACAGGAGAGGAGGGCCGATCCGAGCGGCGAGTCTCTCGGAGACACTGCGCTGACCGACAAAACACCATGACATCTGAAATCATGCTGGTATTGAGAGCTGGCGTTTTCATTCTCGTATTTCCATGCTAAATATTCCAGAGCCCTTTTGTTCCAATTGGGTTTAAAATGATGTTTCGAGGTGTTTTTTATTTCAAGTATGAAGTTTTGCTCATCATTTTTAGCTGTGCATGGGTAGCTGGTTTAACTGATGTAATAAGCACTGAAATGTTCTCCACCCCTCTCCATGGTCGGGCACTTTGTGTTTTGAAGTGCCGCTACTGGGCTCTCAAACGGGCCAGAACACCCCCGCGGTGTAATCCACTGGTCCTCTTTTTGTGTATGTGCATGCCCGCCAGAGTTCTTTTTTTTTTTTTTTTTGTCAGGAGAGTGTTTGCTCTTTCGCTCGGCTCAGAAATGCATGCCCCACTTTGGTCTGACAGCCCTGAGTGGCATAGTCATGGTCTCATCTCAACACGCCAACTCCCAATGTGCCCGTTAACAGATTAATTAAGCTTTTTTGATCACCCGCTCTCCTCTCAGCCTGCATTTATGGCAACTTTTTAAGACATTCGGCTGCTTATTCGTGTCAGGGAACGTTTCGAGAAAAAAGGGTCAGAATCTTAAGTGGAGCATTAGCTTTCATGTGTCGATCCTAGTGGCTGATATTCATTAGGGGACATGGAGGAGATTTTTTTCGGGGAGGGGAGAGGAGAGGAGGGGATCGGGCACAAAGAGTTGCCTCAGTTATAAAGGCCCGAGCTTTTGGCATGAGTGGAGGACTTCATGTGGCCAGGGCTGGAGATGTCTGTGGAAGGTTGGCTGCGTTTCATATCACACCCGGGTTCCTCTGCGGGGAGAATGGTGAGCAACCCTAAATATTTACTCTATGAAGATGTGTTTGGATTCCACCTGAGCCCGCAGCTTCTCTCTCGCTCTCTTCTATGCCAGTGTATTACAGCAGAGGAGACGTTTATTTTTGTTGTTTTCTAGATGAGATGTGGTTCAGCGAGTGGCTGAATCGCCCTCTGGAGTCTCGTTTTTTTTAAATGAGGCTTACGAAAAACAGCTCAGACCTCTGGAATCGCTTAATCAAGCGTGCGTCGATGAAATACATTTTTGTTCTGCAAGTACCTCAATAATTGTTGGTAGCTTCTGCAGATGTTTAAGTCTGTATTTTATATATGTAGATTCTGTAATGTTATAAGCTTAGATGCTGGCAGATTGGCTGCTTTTTTCTCCAGCAGGGAGAGAGTTTTCGTCTTCTGCCCCGGGGTTTGAAGTCACAGTAGTAGGTCATTTTGAGAAGAACCTCCGCTCTTGGCAGAGTCGGCTCTGCTGGGAAGGCTTTAAGAGA